CCAGTGTGGAGATTAGGGGCACCAACTCCTGTGCAGTCAAAAATCTGCATTTAACTTTTGACTCCCCCAAAATGTAAGTACTAATAACCTAGTGTTGACCAGAAGCCTTACTAATAATGTGTAACAGTCATTGAACACATCCTTTGTATGTTGTATGTAGTATATACTGTATTTTTAAAGTAATAGAAAAAAGGAAAATGTCAAGAAAAACATGAGGAGGGGAAAATTTACAGTCCTATAGCATATTTGTCAAAAAAAAAATGCATGTGTAAGTGGACTTGCACAGTTCAAAGCCCTGTTGTTCAAGGGTCAGCTGTGTAAAAGAACCAGGATTCAGACCCAGGCACAATAGCTTCAGGCTTGCACTTTAAGAAAATTATTATTTCTTGATTTTTTAAAAAGTTTAAGACCCATAGAAGAACTGAAAGAATGGTATACTGAGTAGCTGTATACACTTCACCTATACTCACCACCTTGTTCCATCTCCCCCACCACCACCCCACACACACACGTGTTCATAGGATACCTAAAATTTAAATCCTATTACCCAGGGTCTTCCTTACCCTCCTCTGTCCCATATTTATATTCCCTTATCCCACAGCCATACCCTGGTTCCCAAAAATGTGGTCAAAGAACATACTTTTATATGATTTCAGTCTTTCTATATTTATTGAGTCTTATTTATTTGGATTCATCATATGATATGTCCTGGAGAAGGAACCATGAATACTTGGGAAGAACATGTCTCCTATAGCCATTGGCAGGGGGTGTCCTGTAAATATCAGGTCAGTTGGTTGGTGCTGTCAGGCCTTCTGTCTCCTGAATGGCGTCTGTCCATTTGTTCTACCAGTTATTGAGAGTGAGGTATTGAGATGTCTAGTTATCATCATTAAATTGCCTATTTCTCCTTTCAATTCTGTCAGTTTTTGCTTCCGGTATTGTGGAGTTCTGTCCTAGGTGTGTGCACACTTAGGATTTTTATGTTTGTTTTCCTGATGTATTGATCCTTTTATTATTATGGGATGCCCCTCTTTGTCTCCAGTAACAGTTCTTGTCCTAAAAGCCATTTTGTCTGATGTAAAAATATAGCCAGGGCAGCTCTGTGGTTACAGTTTACAGGTACATTTTTTCTTCCTTTTACGTTCAAATTCTTGTGTCTTTGAATCCAAAGTGTATCCCTTGTAGGGAGTGAATACAGTTGAGTCTTGCTGGGGTTTGTTTTGTTTTGTTTTGTTTTTGTTTTTTTGGTTTGTTTGTTTTTTGTTTTTTTTTTACCAAGTCTGATAATTTCTGCCTTTTGAGAGTGGTGTTTAGTCCATTCACGTATAATGTAGTGACTGAAATCATTGGTTTCCATGATTTTTTTATGTGCTTCTGAATTCTGTTTACTACTATTTTCTTTAGGATTTTTATGGAGAGCTTTAAACATGAGATTGGCCTGTGCCTTCCTTTCCTGTGCCATCTGTCTCATGCTTGCGTTTATTGTTGAACTTGTTTCATAACAATTATTTGGAATGTTTCTTTCCTTTTTTTGTGATCTGGAGCAGTTCCTGCAGCACTAGGATGATACAGTCTGATGATTTTGTAGAATTCTCTTGTGACATCGTTGAGATGATCCTTTTGTTGTACATGGTTTCCTCGATAACTTCTGTTTCTCTTATAGGATTTGATCTGTTTAAGCATTTGTTTCTACCAGGGTTGATTTTTTTTTTAAAGAAGTATTTTTCCTGGTAACTACCCACTTCAGCTAGGTTTTCAAATTTATTTGCAAAGATTTCTATGAATATCCTCCCATGACTTTAAAATTCTTCTGTGTTTCAGTGATCTGTTTCCCCTTGCTCTGTTTTGTTTTGCCTTCCCCTTTCTTCTGATCAGGGTAGCTGGTGACTTCTTTATTTCATTGACTTTTTTTCAAAGACTTTGCATTTAGATATATCATTTCCTTTGTTTTTGCTTTCTGTTTCTTTAATTGCTGCGCTTATTATTGCTTTCCTTCTACTTCCTTTGGTTGATTTGTTGTTTTCTCTTTATGGCCCTTTGAGTCAAGCAAGGTGCCCCCTACTAGGCAATACTACATCATTATCCCCCTTCAACCAATGGGTCCCATCGCCTAAGCCTCCGCATCCTGCTATTTGCTGATTGATAACAAATATTTGTCCAACAAGTGGACAGTGAATGGACAGTGCTCAGTGGTGCGCAGCCTTTCATGTAGGAAGGGTCCTCAATGAGCACTGGTTGAATGGATATACAAGGGAGTCTATATAGGAGAGGTGATGATAAGATCTTCTTTGCCTGAGACAGAAATTCAAATTCTGTTATCCCTCAGGATCAGCCAATCCTGTGATGATCTGGTCATTGTTTTTATAAATCCACATTTGTCTCTCTCTACATCTACATTTCTAGATAGCTCCACTCAATCTGTGTCTGCCACAGATTCTTCTCAAATATTCTGGTGCTTATCCCAAATGAGGGGTCAAATGTACCATTGGAGTATGAAAATGCTATGGGGGCCGCCTGGAGGAGGGACACAAAATGGGGCTCACCATGTGCCCTGACATGCCAATCACCCTCATTCTGAGCTCTGCCCTGACCTGAGATGGTGGGTGAGATAGGACAATGCCAGAGGTCTCATCCATATGGGGGGTGTGGCAGTTAGCTGACAAATGTCTAGAAATGAAATCACAGTGTGTTGTGCTAGTTTAACGAGCCAGCGACCTGCACCGTGTAACAAGCAGAGAGACAAGCCATATGACTCATAGCATCACTCACCATAATTATGTTATGGCCTCGTAACTGATGTAGTGGATGTGCTAGTCAGCTTATGCCACAAACCACATAATGGTATTTGTGCAAAATGACATCGAATTTTTCATGTGCTGTGGAGAGGAAAGTTTAGTTCCTTATTCCCAAATGATGCAACCAAGACCCAGTGAGATATCCAGGACCCCCTCGGTGTACTTGCTGCTTCACTGGTTCTTGAGATGAACAGTAGGATTATGGGAGGAACTTTCACAGTTGCCTGACTGTGGGCAGAGCAAAGCAGGGTGGGGTAGGGTGGAGTGGGGTGGAACAGGGGCCAGGGCAGGGTTCCTCATCATTCCAAGTGAAAGTGCTGCACTCAGAGGCTGACAACCACTGTGTGAACCCGGAGCAAAGATAATAAGACCAAGATCTTAATTCCAGACCAAGGAAGGCCTCTTGATCCCTGGCCCTGTGCCATCTTCCAGGACTCCAGACTGTACCTGCAGTGTATCAGAACCCCAGGGAGCCCAACCAGGGGTCCATAAGCACTTGTGACTCTAGAGCTGGGATGTGACCATTTCAGGTTACTTTTCCCCTCTGCTACCAAGGTGCCTCGTTCCTGAGTGTGAATAACCACTAAAGATTCTGCTCTTGACCCTACAAAATGAAAATGGAAAATCTGACTTGGAGACTTTCCATGCCTTCCCAACACCAACAGGAGAGCCTGACAGAGAGAGACTGGGGAAGCAGATGGGTGGCTGGGGAGGAGCAGGACAACGGGGCTCTAGTCCTTCATCAACCAGCTCTTCCTCTCTCCCCGATGGTGGGAACAGAATAGCCTCAGAGACATGCTGAAAGGGGAAGGTGTTGCTAGCTCCCACATTCTCTAGGGCCTGGATCTTTCTTTTTTTTTTTAATATTTTTTTATTTATTTATGATAGAGAGAGAGAGACACAGGTGTAGGGAGAAGCAGGCTCCATGCAGGGAGCCCGACGCGGGACTCAATCCTGGGACTCCAGGATTGCGCCCCAGGCCAAAGGCAGGCGCCAAACCGCTGAGCCACCCAGGGATCCCCATAGGGCCTGGATCTTAAACTCAGAGTAGACTGGGACGATATAGATGATGAAGAACCAGGAAACCAGGGAGCCTACCAAGACGGCAGCCGATGGTTAAGATGGCCACGCTGGACGACATTGCCATAGATGCTCCTGGGGCGTCAGCTCCACGCTATTTATTGAGCATCTGCTGTGTGTCACACTGTGCTCTGGGTGCTCTGGTGTTGCTGGCGTACCTGCCATAGGAAGGCCTCAGTGTCATAGAGCTTCCCACTGTGGCTGCAGTGGGGGAACTTTACATTTCTGAAAATCGAATGTCACCATTTCATGACCAGATTTGTATTACATGAAAGTAGATGCCACAGACAGAATCAGAGTGCCTAAGACATACTTTAGTAGGGTAAAAGCGAGATTATTGATTAGCTGTTGATGTAAGCCAGTCCTGCCTGTGGACACCAAGTTACAAAGGGATGTCCCTCTCATCCTGCCACATGAGAGGTGGGTGGTCCCAGGCAGAAGTGGCCCCAGGAGGCTCCACATAGGAGGCCAAGATAGACCCTTCCAGGTCAGGTTCCCCAACACGTAGGAAGAGAACCAAAGAGATGCTGCCTCGCCGGGGACGTGAGGCCAACTCTCCCCGCTATGCTCTTGGGCATATTTCGAGACCTCGATGCCAGTTTGGGCTGGGCTGCAGATGCCACATGCTGATCCCAGACCTTTGGGAATGGAATCTGCTCAGTGAATAATCGGTATGATCAATCATGCTCCTTCTTACTCTTGTCTGTGTGCCAAAGAGACCTGCTCGGTCCTCCTGTGCCATTCACGAGCCTTGTGCTGGGAGAAAATGACTCATTGGGGGAGTAATGAGGATAATTAATGATGTGTACTCCAAACTGTCACTGCACAAGTGTCAAGCGAACATTTGGAGAGAGGGGGTTTCTTTGTGACATTGCGGTAATTATGTCAGACAAAGTCTTGCAGTATAGAGATTTCCAGAATTTGCAACGGTACGTAATTAAAATGCAGTATGTACTTTGAAAATGGAGTGTTTAGATTGGGATATCGCTTTGACGAGCTGTATTTTCCATAAAGTGCCAGAGGTCTGGCTGACATAGAAGTTATTTTCCCCAAAAATTGGCTCATCTCTCCAGGGAAGCTCTTAATCACGACTGCCCACCTGTGTTCTCTCTCTCACATCCTCAGGCGATGGATCTGGAAGTCCCAGTGCTGGCCAGGAACATCCCCGGGAACGCGGCCGTGGTGAAGCATGAGGTCACGGGGCTGTTGTTCTCAGACCCTCAGGTAAGGATGGGGTCCCCGTGATCAGCTTATCTGGAATGGTTTTCATCGGCATTTCACTTGGAGACTCCGCGGTTCCCATGTTTTCACCAGTGCCCAGTGGTCCCCCTCACATGATGGGAGCCCCAAGTGTGGCGCATGTCCGCTGTGGCCACAAGGGTGGACACGTGATTCAGAAAAACCTAGAACAGAAACTCAAACACAAGACCTGCGCCTGTTCCTGATTCTGCCTCCAGCGTGCGACATGGCCTTGAACAAGTCAGGTCACTTCTGAGCTGCTTTGGATTTCTGATCCGAAGCGGGTGCTCCTCAGATACAATCTTCTATTTCTAGCAACCTACTGGTTTTCAGAAGATTGCCACATATCTGATCACTGCAATGCCTCCAAACAACGTGCAGAATAAGCCGAGTACTCGTGCATATGCACGCACCTCCACGTGTATTTGAAAGTAATATATAGGGTGGTGCAGCTGAGAGTGGACACAGCCTGGGCGCGTGTGTGCATAGGACCTCGAGGAAGCATGTGGGGGTCCCGAGTGTGCCTGTGCATGTCTGCCTACAGTTGAACCCCCAGGGACTGCGTGCAGGGCGTGTGGCCTGGCCTGAGTCTCCAAGCTCTGTTTTCTCCTCCGGACAAGCGGACCTCATTGGCCCTCTGCCTCCTGGAAGTGTGACAGAGGCTGAAGGAGGGATACACCAGGCTGAGTGTGTTCATGGCACGCGGCCAGAGCTCTGGACCTGCTGTCGCCACAGGAGAGGCACCGCTGCAGCCCGTGAGAAGAATCTTAGCCCCAAGTCTTGTTCTTTAAGTCTTTGAAAATTAGGTTCTACCTACCAGCGTCTTTATTAAAGCACATATCATATTCAGGAATACGGGGGTTTATACTTAAAAAATTATAGTCAAGTCAAATATTTGAAAATTCAGGTTTCAGATTCCCTATGGCAGATGCTTAATCCAAGAGAGCTTTCGGTTTCCCTTGCTACAACCACGGCTCACCTGTTTCCACTGCTGCCTGGCGTGCTAGCTCCCCCGGGGGGCCGACCGCAGCAGCAAAGGGGGCCTAACCACTCATGCCTTCCCTCTCCGCAGCAACACCTACCAGCCAAAGCAGTATCAGGACAGGGAGACTTTGTAGTAGTTACTTGTCTCTTCTCCAGACAAAGGTTTATCGCTTTGAACCACATTCTGGATCTCTGGAATCAACGCCAGCCAAGCTTTTAGGTCAGACAGTAGTGTCTCCACCCTGGTAAAGGGACTTTATTTTCATCTCTCCAGACTCAACAGCTATTTATTTCATAGCTCAGTTTCCGAGCTCTCTAAGCGGTCAGTGAGTGTCTGAACATGAGGACAGAAGCACTTTGGCTTCCAGCAAGCGATTCCTTCTGACATTTGCAAATAAGTGTCCCACCGCCGACAGGGTCGTGTCAGCTCTGCTCGCAGACGCGGTGCTGCAGCACACGCAGAGCTAAGTCTAGGATTTATCTCGATTCCAACATCTCAACACTGGTTTCACAAAGGATGTTTAAAAAAAAAAAAAAAAAAAGAACACTTTAGATTTCACATGGGGAGAAGGTTGTGTTTTCTAACGCACTTTAAAAAGTGCGCTAGACGTGGCTGTCACACCCGGCTCTGTTTTGTCTGCTTTGTGGTGTCGACGAGACTTAAATCAAGCGCAGGGTGGGAGCTCGCCTCAGAAGCCTAAAATGCGTTTTCAAGAAGCCAGCAGGTGTGGTTCTAGTCCTCTCGTGGAGAGGGGCTCAGGTGGCATTAACCCCTGGCTGGTTGCCAGAGGGTGCAAGATTTAGTTCAAGTCTGTATTCAGATATGCATCAGAAGCAGCATTTCACCTGTTACGAGGGATCTTGTGCACCGGCGCCAGCCTGCTGAAGTTGGTGCATAGTGTAAACTGTGAGTGCGGCCCAGGCTGAGCTAGCTCTGAGGGAGCTCTCTGTGCCTGATGCAGAGGCTGCAGCAACCTCACGGGAAGAGGGGAGGTCGCCAATCGCTCTCTCATGTGCTAGACCCCGGTCACCCAGCCTTCAAACAGCAAACAAATTTCACGAAGCCTTTGCCTGAAGGATGTCAGGGGTTGTCAAAGGCATCGCTTAACTTCTTGTTTATTTTGTGGACTTTTGTGTAAAACTAAACCAGGGCAGCCCAGGTGGCTCCGCGGTTTAGCGCCGCCTTCAGCCCAGGGCCTGATCCCGGGGTCCCGAGATCGAGTCCCACATCAGGCTCCCTGCACGGGGCCTGCTTCTCCCTCTGCCTGTGTCTCTGCCTCTCTCTCCCTCTCATGAATAAATAAGTAAAATAATAAATAAATAAATAAATAAATAAATAAATAAATAAATAAATAAATAAAACCAGCAGTGGGAGCAGACACGAGACCTGCCGCCTGAGAGCGCAGCCGTACTCTGGCGTCCCCGCCCCGGCCCTCGCCCCTGTTGCCCTTCCTGGAGCCCTGTCTTCAGGATCTATGAGAGCCTGTACATCCTGGGCCATGGCTCAGGTTCGGGGCCAAGCTGGCCGTGTGTGCGGGTGCTGTCTCCCAGAGCCCCCCGCGGCCCTTAGGTCTGGCCACAGAGAGTAAAAGATCAGAGTGGCGGCAGATACCCCTTAATACCTTGGTCAGTCCCGAAGGCAGGAGGCGAGAGGCGTATGATAGGTAAGTGTGGCCTCGGTGTTGGGAGGCAGGGAACAGAAAAGAAGCGGGTTTGAGGCCCACTGGCGCGTGCTGTCTTGTCTGGGGGTGCCCGCTGCCGGCTGCTCTGGGGACACAGCCCTTGCTGAGCGTGAGGAGAGGCTGGGATTCACCAATTTGTAGATGTCGACAACTCAGTCGGTTACTGGTTTGACTACTCTATGGCCTATCCGAACACTCAGGGGAAGGAAGATTTGCCAGGCAGGCCACCAGATAGATGTCTGCTCGGGATGAGGGCTGTGCCTGTGCCTTCTCTGAAGGAGCAGGGGATGAGACTGTCACCCACAGGAGTGACATTCCCAGTGAGGTCGTGTCCAATAGCATCTTCCTAGGCTCGGGACCACATCTTGTCCTCCAGACGGAAGAGAAGGCGAGGGGTCCTCGGGCAACGTCAGAAGTGGAGGGGGCCGGACTGTAGGTCTCTGTAGCCAGAAAGAGGAGTTTGGGCTTGGCACGACAGGACCAGAGTGGTGTGTTCTGTCCGTCTCGGAGACAAGGCAGGTGAATCCGCTCCCGCCACACACCAGGAGGGTTAGGCAGAGAACTTTGCTCAAGGCCCCGCTGTGTGGCAGGCATTGTGCTGGGTTCTGCAGGTAAGAGCTGAGGGGAGAGGGATCCCTGGGTGGCGCAGCGGTTTGGCGCCTGCCTTTGGCCCAGGGCGCGATCCTGGAGACCCGGGATCGAATCCCACGTCGGGCTCCCGGTGCATGGAGCCTGCTTCTCCCTCTGCCTGTGTCTCTGCCTCTCTCTCTTTCTCTCTCTGTGACTATCATAAATAAATAAAAATTAAAAAAAAAAAAAAGAGCTGAGGGGAGAGGCTCAGGGCCTCTGGGGCCTACAGTGTCTGCAGGTGCTTCCAGGCTAGGGCAGCCCAGCCTCTCCACCGTCCTCAGCTCCACAGGCACCACTCCCAATGGGATGTTGGCCCCCTGCAGCTCTGTAGGGCTCGACTCCCGGGACTCGCACAAGGTCTGCCCGGCGAGGATGAGGCCCGCCTCAAAGGAAGCAGGGAAGGGCTCTCACAGCAGGCAGATCCCCGTGTACTGAAGCTGGGGTGTGGGACGCGCGGCACGGGAGCTAGGGGGAGCACAGGCGGCACGCGGGCCCCGCAGGGAGTGGCAGAAATGAACGAGAACTCACATGTAAGGTGTACAGGACACGGGAGTAGGTGTTGGTTCTGAAGCGGCCCTCACAGTCCCCACCTCTTGGTGTTAGGCTGTCATCTTTTTACATCACCCAAACACTTTTTTAATAGAAAAATCAACAACATAGCAATTAAGTTAAAAAGTTTCCATTACTGGCTATTTGGAAACAACCTCATATTTTTCCAGGACACGTTTTCCAGGCCCCACCTGGACGGTCAACCAGGAGGCCCTTTGGTTTCTGCGTCCACTGCCACTGCTCTCAGCCGAAGCCATGGGTGGCGATTCCATCCTTGTCTTTGTTCTCATGGACATAGGGCCAGTGCACTTCTTCTCCGCAGGGTACCCGCACACCAGAGGTAGAGTGTGCTTGTCAGAGCAGAGCAATTGCTTGAGCAGGGAGGGCCCATGACCCAGACGGCTTGGTTACGTGCCATCTAGGGGCTCCTGCTTTGCCGCGGCCATTCTCAGAGCTGGTGGTCCATGAGAACCATGGCTTGGAGCCACTACTGGCACCTGCAGGCATGGCTGATGGCTGAGGTCAGAGGCAGGGCGAGCCGTGCCCACGACTAACAGGGCAGTGTGTGGACGGACATTCGTGTGGCCAAGGAGGGCAGCCACCAGCCGAGGTGCAACTGTCACCCTCTGTGTAGGGTTTGTGGCCCAGGTAGCCTCCCCCAGCCTCAGCAGGGCAATGCTGATCAGGAGCCTTTGCTGCAAAGCCCCCTGGGCGGCCTCCCAAAGCCCACTTCCGGAGGTGACCTCTTTCAGTTAACCCCATGTCATCCCGTGTCCCCGTAGCACAGCCAAGATGACTTCCTGGCAGATTTACTTCCACATTTCTCGAGGGCTCTGCTCTTTCTCTCTGACCTTCTGAGACCCTGACCTGGCTGTGTCCCTCTGCCCTCTGGAACCTTCTCAGGGCCAGCTCTCCTCTCACCGCATTCCCTCACATGCTGGTCTTTGCTTGCCAAGACTGGAGGAGGAGCACATGGGCCCAGAGCTGAACCGTCCAGTGTCGTCCCGTCCTGGCCGCTTACTGCTCCCTTTGCGGCCCTGGGCCCGGTTCCGTTTCTGAACCTCTCTCTGCTCCTGTTTCTGTCTGAGGAAGGAGTCATGGGGATAGCACACAGTCCCAGTCCCTTTCTTCAACTGCAAAATCCAAAATGCGCTCGAAAAACAATTTGATTTTTTGGGAGTTTGGTGCCAAAACGGACTTGGCAGCAAAGTCGTATCTGAGCTGATGCGAAGTTATCTGTGGCTGTTTGTCCTGCTTTGTGTGACTATTCATACGTTTTGATTTGGAAATTGTGGTGTGTTGCGTAAGGGGTGCTGCTTAGAGCCACCGTGGGGCCTACGGTAATGAGAGAGGGCATGAACCCCATCATGAGATCCCCCAGATCCTGGATTCTGAACGTGAGCTGCTCCCTGGCGGTAAGCATGTGACAGATGCTGGCTGTATGCTGATCTGTGGCCGGTCCAGCCCCGCTGGAGGCTCCAGGCCACACATCAGCTGCCCTCGGCAGAAAGCGTGTGAGGGCAGGCTCGTGCCTCTCCTGGGCTTTCTCCTTGACCCGGGAGCAAAAGAGAAGTGGAAGCGCATGAACCTTCCCAGCATGCCGGTCACAGCCGAGGACTGTCCCGTCCCAAGCAGCCCGGAACGGGGGTCAGGACATGCACCCAGGCGTCTTGCACTCTGCCCCTCGCTCCTGGGCCTCGTGGGCTCAGGGACCTGGTCTGTGGGCTGCCTAGCTGGGCGTGAGCCAGGTGCCCTCCTACAGGATAGCCTGAGCTTTAGGGCTGTTTCACTTAGCGTCCCCAGCCTGAAGCTGTTTTTATACAGTGGATTTTAGCTTCTGTTGGACAAGAGGGTGCATACAACTTCCAGAGGTGGTTGGAATGGAATGTTCCCCAAAACCGTCCCTGTTGAGAGCCACGTCCGGTGTGCTGCCTGCAGGGCCGTTTGCTTCTCCCTGAGATCCCCCTGCCCTGTGATGTTAGGGTGACAGTATTATGACAAGGATCCCAGCAGGGGTCTGAACATCAGTTCTGTCAGAGGGACTCCACTTCTCATCCCCTGAACCTTGGCGGTGCCTCCACAAGAGAAGGCAGGTCCCCTGCCCCTGATTCAGAGGGAAGTTTCCCAGCAGCCACTGGAGGAAAGGTGAAGTGCTCATCGTATGATGACGAAAATAGAACCATGCTCTTTTGTATAATTTTTTGTTGTTTTTTTAACTTCAGAAACATATAACTGGAGCCAGGGCTTGCACACCTGTGGTCCTGGGGTTGATCTGGGCCATGTTCTTAAAGTTTTGCATGGCTCATTTAGCACGAGGTGCTTTTTTGTAGGTACCCCAGGCTTTTAGGCCTCTCTTGAATGGAGGATGTGGCGTCAAGTCCAGGCCATGGTTACTGTGGTGCGGGGTGGGTGCTCGGGGTCCCAGTCCTGGCCTAGAACAGTGTCGAGATGGGCCTTCAAGCTCTCACAGGTGTGGAATACCCACACATGGGTCCTGTGTATGCCCTGAGCGATTTTCAAGAGCAGATCCCAATGCTGCAGGAAGCAGATCCTGACACTGATGAGCAGCCCCTTCCTCAAGGAACTGTTTGGCAATCAGTTGACCGGTTTTCTGGCAAGTTCCACAGATGGCAGTGCAGAGAATCCACAGTGCTCTTGCTAACACGCTGATCAACTGGCACGTGTGCTTCTTTCCCGGGAGCAGTGCCGAAGCTCCTACTGCCTCATTGTCCAGGCCAGTCAGTGAGGCATCCTCACCTTGTCCTCGTGGGTGTCTCTGTCCATGCACTGTCATCCTCAGGGGGCAGCCCAGGCCTCAGGGCATGAATGGGAACAGGAGATGCCAGGGAGCTCTGCTTGGGGCTCAGACACATCACCTCTGACTTAGTCTGTGGCTGGAGCACAGACTCTGGACCTGGGAGACAGACCCCCTCCAGCACATGGGAGGAGCCTGCACGGTGGTGGTGGTGCGCGTGTGCGGACAGAGGGCACATGGTCTGCCCAGCAAGTGCCTGGCCATCTGTCACCATGAGCATCTCAGGGTCCACAGGCGTGCACTTACATGTTCCCTCTGCTCACACAGGAGGGCTTGGCCCAGAGCCCCCGGGAGTGAGTCTGACAACCCATGAGTCCGGGTTCCCTTTGCTTTTCCCGATGTTCTTCCTCACCCTGCCCGCCGCTCACACGGGGTTTGGTTGTGCTGCGCCCGGGGGCTTCTTCCTCGCCACCCACGGCTCTCTTGCTTTACCGAAGTCTGTGTTTCTGCTGGGTCTTCCGTGCGGACCGGAAACCGTGCACTTTCTCAGGTTCCATCCCTAGAAGCTTCATCATTCAGCGCTCGGTTGTAAAGTGGTCAGTGTTCTGTCGAGATCCTAAGAGGTGGCTGCCGCCGTGGTCTGCGGGTCAGATAACCCAAGATGTGGCTAGTGTCAGAAAATAATAGACCGAAGTTGTAAGTGTCTTGAATAATTTTTATACGAACGTTGTTCAGTTATGAGGTAGGAATAAATGTGTTTCACTTTTATTATAAAAGAACACCAATTTACTAAAAAGTGTATACATAACACATAAAAATGTAACTGCTGTATCATCAATATTGCTATTCATATTGCTAGCGATAAAGAGCATTCAACATTTAGTTAACAATAATTTTGAAAGTACGTGGGCATTCTTTTTAAATGGCAAAGCGCCGTATGTTCACATGAGGCCTGGCTGTCTAATTGGAACTTGCATGGGCTTCGGGGGTTCCTGGTGATAATGATGGTGAAGTCTGCGTCAGGCTGTGCCAGGGCCCCGTGTACCAACCCATTCATTCCTGCCAACACACCTCGAGGCTGGTGCTTCCATCGTCCCTCAGTGACACACAAGAAAACAGAGGAAGAGAGAGGCTAAGGAATGTCCCCAAGGTCAATGGCGTGAAGGTAGGGCATGAGGCCACTTGCAGGCCTCCGGCTCATGCCCTCTGCCCTTGACTTTGTGCAACGTAACACACATGGATGCCCCCCTCCTTTCTCTCAGTACTCTTGAACAATTGAAATCGTTCTAATTCTTTCCGATTATGGAGCCGGGGGGTCCCCATGTGGATGGTCATCCTGGCACGTGTGTGCATGCATATGTGTGTGGGTTCATGTGACTTGTCACTCAGCCCACGTCTGAATGAACTCTCATCCCCCCTGAAAGCCACGTCTCCAGAGCACAGGAAGTGGATGAAGGAGATGCTGGAAGCTAACATGGGCACAGGCTTTGGGTGCCTTTGCTAAAGCTTGTCACCAGTTTATTTACACCTGTTTCTCTTCTACCTCCTTGCAGGAGTTTGTTCAGCTGGCAAAGAGACTGGTTAGTGATCCTGCATTAGAAAAAGAGATTGTGGCCAACGGAAAGGAATACGTGAGAATGTATCACTCATGGCAGGTGGAAAGAGACACTTACCAGAACCTCATCCATACCCTCGAGGGGAGCACCGAGGAGTAAGGGTGCTGTCACATGCCTGCCCTCGGCCCCAGCCCAGTGCCCAGCCCTGAGGGAGTACCCAGAGCCGGGGCTCTGGGCCAACAGGTTCAGCTCTGTATGAATCAAGCCAGTTTAAATGAATCACCGATAAGCAACATCAGTTGTAAGGCAGGACCTCATCCAGAATCCATCTGGGCTTCCAGATAACATCCTGGATGTGTCTACCTGGTCAGTCCTGGTGGAGATGAGGATGCTCATGGGCACACGGGGCCGGGAGGGGAGCCCTGGAGAGAGTGGCCTTAGCTGCTGTAGGACTCTTGGACCAGCCACCCCCGTACAGACACTTCCCACCTGTCTTCTGATGACCTATGACTCAGTGTTCCACAAGCAGAAACTAAACTCAGACATGTCCACAGAATAAAACGTGTCGCTGTCAGTCCACAGAGACAGCCGCTGTGTGTTGGTGTTGTGCGCAGCATCGGCGAGAAATCGCTCCCCCGCCCCGCCTCCAGTTCCTGCCCCTGAAAGAGAGGTGCTGATGCTCAAGCACCTCACGAGGAGGGTTTTCATGCACAGTCACTATTTTAATGCCAAAGTGCAGATGTGAAACAGTGCTTTTCTATGCACACTGTAGACGGTCCCAGTTTCATACTTTGTTTAAATATCTTGTGTATCGTTTTCAACTTGTTGAAGTCCAGGTTTGAATGCTCCAGAAGTAAACCTCCAGAGAGAACGGAGATACTGTGGCTTTGCATACGGAGGGACAATGCACGTAATGGGGCGCCGCCTCCCTCGGCTTCTCCCGGGCACCATCCTACCCCCTTCAGCTGTCCCAGAAAGCCGAATGCCACAGAACCTCTTGGATGGGCTGCTTCACATGGGTGTTCAGGTCTACAGAAGCAGACCGCGTGGGCTCTCCTGGCTGAGCCTGCCCACCTGTCACTGAGCCGTAGCTTTCTACTGTGTCCAGAGTTGCTCTTCTGCATGTTTCCAGTGATGACACAGCATCTTCTTTCTCCCATCCCCTGTGTCCTTTTTCCTTGCATCTCCCCACACCCTGCCCTCACTTACTCTTTCTGACCAGTGTCCTCTTGGAAAGCCAGGGGCTGATGCAGGAATGACAGTCAAAAGACCTCCCCACCCAAGGCCACCCTGACAAGAGAGGCCACTCCTTAAAGCAGTGGTTCCCAGCCTCAGCTTCTAAAAATCCTGGTTCCTGGGCTGCATTTCAGGCCAGTAGCATCAGATCTCGGGGCTGGAGACACCCAGGCCTGAAGCTTCCCAGTGACCCAACATGCCGCCAAGATGGATGGCTACTGCCTTACATGGTCCATCTCAACAGGGACCAGAATTTCACAGTAAACGAACATCTGAGAAGAGGCTGGATGGTGATGTCGTATTGAAAAGTGAATCCAGAATGAAAAAGATTGGTTAAATTTGCCTTATGTTTAACATGGTTGATTATGCCCATAAAATTGAAACTCTAAGTGCAGGGCCAAGAGATATTTCCCACCAACAAGTAGCTGACAAGCACAGCCCAGGACTTGTCAATGCTCCCCAGAGCTTCTCCCTCCTCTGGGCTTCACTTTTGTCTGCAATGTCTGTCCCACAGTCCTTGGAGACTGTCCCGCCCTCACCGGCTACCTGGTTCCAGGCCACCAGGGACCTGCCTGTGGTTCACGTTGCTCTCTGACACCTGTCCATCACTTTCATGAGATCCCTCATCTCTCACAAGATGTGCAATTTTACTTCTCAGTTGATTTCCAGAGGTGGTGGTATTTAAACACTTTGACCATGAAATAGTAAGAGGGACCAACCCTACCCGGGTATAGGGAGCAAGAGGATGTCACGATTACACCTGGTTGCACCTGACCAGAAATTCAAGGTAACAGTGGCATAAGCAGGAGGGAAATGATTTTTTTTTTTCTCTCCCAAGTTCAGGGATGTGGCATTCTCAGGGGCAGAGACTCAGACCCTCCATCCTCTTGTTCCTCCATTCTCAGTATATGGCCATCTCTACTTCGTGCAGCAGGTAGCTGCCCAAGCACTGCCATCATGCCTGATTTCCAAGCCACAAGAGGGTAAAAGGAAGGTGGGAACAGAGACTTACCTGTTTCCTTTCTTTCAGGACAATTCCTACCTCCAGTCACACGCTGTGTCCCACACCCAGTTGCAAGGAACACTTGGGAATGCTGGCTTTACTCCCAGTAGCCATGTGCCCCCTTAAAAATCAGGGAGGAGTCTATTATCAGAAGAGACAAGCAGATTGCACATCAAGAGACAATCTGCAGGTGCCTTAGCCATCGATACAGGCTGGTAGTAGACTCTGCAACCCCAGACATCCTATTACTAACCACTGGGTACCTTTGAATGCCAAGAGAAGCATTTTCCACAAGGTTTTAATTTACTTTTTCAAGTCATCCAGACACAGCTCACCTTCCCTCTCCAGGATTTCATTTGTGTACAAGCCCTGCGCCAGGGCAGCATATCCATTAGAACTTCACACCCCGCAGCAACGGAATGAACGGCTCTGAGTCAGAGAACACGTGGGTTTTCACTTGAATCTCCTAAAATATTCATTCCCTTTGGGTGACACACAACTGACCCTGGAAGACACAACAAAGCGATAAAGTGTATCGACGACGTGTATGTGATCTCGGCCACAAACGTGGTCCTGGTAGCCCCAGGTCCTTGTTCACGGTAGAAGGTCTTGGGAAATTGGAATCTTTTTGGAAGGGATCCTTACTTCGAGTTCGGCTGAGAACAAAGAAGAATTTGTATTATAAAGAAGATACAGTGAAGTTCCTTTGGCCTAGCTCTTAGGCCCTACAGATCACGTGTGAAACAATTGCTGCGCAGTGCGAGCTCTGGTGGAAGCCCCCCGCATGCATGCAGGCTGAGTGTGCACACACCGGCCTGCACACAGAGTCCGGCTCACGGGTGAGTTTGCGCAGTGCTGCATGAGGTCAGGGGAAGCCAGCCCTGAATGCCTGGGTATCCTATGGTCAGGATTTTAGGTGGAGAGCTGAATCCCTAAGCAGGACCTGGGGAAGCCCTCCCTGTTTCCTGTTTTCATATCACCTGTGTTCCACACTCCCTCTCATCCAGCAAGCACTTACCTGGACAGCAGACAGTGGCCGTGCACTGGTGCTCCAGGGCCGGGGACCCAGCTGTCAACAGACGGAGCTCCCTCCCTCGCAGGGCTTCCCTGCCCCAGGAGCCTCCCCGCTGCGTGGACGCGGACCGATGCCTGTGCCAGGCTTCACTAAGCCCTGGAGTCAAGCCACACAGAGTCCTTGGGGTCAGAGTCGGGGAGGACATAGCCACAGAACCACAGAGCCCCAAGGGTCTTGGAATGGAAACCACAGCCAAGGGGGGACAAGCAGTTTCCGGGAGAATCTCGCAGGCTCTACAGGAGCTTCTGGTACAAACGAATACGGATAAGGTGGGGGTGTCCTCGAGTTCATAGGAATGACTTCATCTTTATCTGTGGCCACATCTCTTTTAAAGAGACTACTTTACAGTCTATTCCGTTCAGACTCGTAAGTAGGCCTTGGAAATCCAGGCTGAGAGAAGCGTGTTTCCAAAAATGTATGCGATTCAGCTAAATGGCAAAAGCTTTCTCCGCAGGGAGGAGAAATGAGCGTGGTGCAGCCTTGCTCAGCAGAGGCCCTGGAGTCACCCTCACGTCCCCAAGCCTCTGCTACCAGAAGGGTTGCGCTCCACTGGAAACGGATTTTCTTCTTTATCATCTAATAGAAAAATATGCTAAGTATTTCCTGCAAACCAGAAAGGTTAGCAACCAGATGTCTGCAAGAACCTGGAGAGCGAGGAGCTCCATCTTTCTGCCAGGGAGCTTTCTGACTTGGTGTTTGGTGGCTGTTCCCCCATTTACAAATACCCAGAAAAACCACTTACAAAGTCTGAAGACCTGCTGATCGCCACCTGCTAGGAAGGCTTCCTTCCCGCTACTCCCCTGGCCCCTCTGCCCGGACCTCTGGCCCCATTTAGGGGCTCAGCAGGCATATAAACAACGGGGACTGGAAAGGCACCTGCATCTGTCACCGACACGGTGCTGTCACCGCAGGTCTGTCACTGAGAGTGAACGTTAGGTGACCCCCTTTGTCCCCGGCACAGTGCTCAGTGCTGGCAACAGAGACTGTCCCCCAAGCCCCAAGCCCCTGGCGAACAACAGAGGTTAAGAAATGTCCCCAGCAACATGAAGACTCCTAACTCTGGGAAACGAACTAGGGGTGGTGGAAGGGGCGGGGGGTGGGGGTGAATGGGTGACGGGCACTGAGGGGGGCACTTGACGGGATGAGCACTGGGTGTTATTCTGTATGTAGACAAATTGAACACCAATAAAAAATAAATCTATTACAATAAAAAAAAATGTCCCCAGCTTTCACGTTCTGGAAGGGCCTTACTGCAGAGGACCGCCTCCCCACAGGACTCCCGGGCCTCAGGGACGGCGCCCCTGCCCCCTGCCAGCCGGCCCAGTCGCCACAGGTCCCTGCTCGCTCTCTTCAGGCCTGGGCTGCCGCGCTGCTCCCCACTGATCCGTCAGCCCCGGCGCCTGCTCATCCTCTGGGGGCCTGGCTGTCCCCGCTGGGCCAGCCACACCCCTGCCTCTCCCCCACCCCATTCTCTCCAGCCGCGTGGGCTCCTCCCCATAAAATAGAAGCCGTGTTCCAACCCCCACGAGATGCCTACAGCTCTGATGGTCAGAGTGCCCTCCCCATTGTCCGAATCCTCGAGGATCCCGCAGAGAAGATCCCTCTGTACCCAGCAGGATTTGCTTCCCACTTGGTGGGGACTTCTCCACAATACCTCAGTGCCCACAATTTCACTCTGCCTCTCCCTCCCTCTCCCCCTGTCTGTCTCTCCCTGTCGCTCTGATGCTGCATGGGACCATCTCCATATCCCATCCAGGAGTCGGACAAGCGTTGAAACCAGGTCAAAGGGAGCTGCAAGGGGCCAGAATAGGTGACGCCCAAGTATGCCCCTTTGGTACCTGGGCTATTCTGAGCTGGAGGCCACTGGGAATGAACGGATGCTTCCCTCACCTGACTCGGAGCTGGCACTTCTGAGAAATGAGGTCTGCCATAAATCCCCCTCCCGGGGCGCTTGGACAGCCGTTGGCCTGCAGGCACGGACTTTACTAAATAACCCTGATCTCCCGAGAGTTCCCTGTATATTTACCTTCCCACACTTTACTGCCCTGGAAGCTCAAAACCCTTTCCCTTCTACTTGTCACTTCTCCACAGATGCATTGTTCTTTGTTCAAACGGGTTTTGTAAAAGCCTGACCACCACTTTGGGGGCTCATTTCATTTTCTGTGAGCTCTCGCCCCATGGGCATGAGAAATAAGCCCTTTCTTCCCCTTCCTGGGACTGGGTTTGCAGGAATCTCCTCCCCTCAGAACCATCAGTTTTAACATCCACT